AGGGAAGACCTTTGAGTACTAGGGCTCGAGGTGCTTGCCTGACGTCGGGGAAGCGGCAGAGGAAGAAGCTAGTTCGTGACTCCACCTGAGTCTAGATCCGAGAGGGACTTGTAAAGATGATGTGTGTGCACCTTTAGGGTTAGCCGTTCGGGTGACTTGGGGGTCAGCCCGGGCTCAATCAATGGGTTCGACCTGAGGAGGTTGACACCCACGAGCTTGTGTTTGTGGGGGACAAAGCGGGAGCTTGTCTCTCACAAGGTGAAGCTGTGTGTGTTGAGAGGGAAGACGGAATGGTCAACCCTCATGTGCTCGAGGTGGCTCGAGGTGGCATAGAGCTAGTGTTGTCCCGAGCTGTGGAAAGCGAATGCATGGCGCATGTAGGGTTTGGCCCGAGAAGGCCTAACCCTGGATGCGAGCTCAAGGCAACATGAGGGTTGCCTTGAGGTGTGGCTCGAGTGGATAGACCACGAGCCTTTGAGTGTGTGCGAGGGGTGAAGACCTGAGGACCTCCGCCTCTGTGTATCGACCCTCCAGGTGTGGAGGCTCAGAGTAGTGAAGGAGCACAGGGGGTTGCCTTGCGGCGAACCTCAGGAGCAATGGTAGTTTGCTTGCCTTTCGCAGGGATGGACGGGGCACTCTTCTGGCATGCCGCAGTAGTATGATTAGCAGGAGATTTGCCAGTAGCAAAGTGTGGGGTAGCAGGAGTGCAACCCATGCAAGGGACCTTGGTGGAGAGTCCACCAGGGCGAGAAAGCAGGGAGGCAGGGATCTTTAAGTCCCCTCTTGCACCGATCCAGGTGAGAACCTGACTCAGAAGGAGAGTAGGGAAGAAGGCTCGAGCGACTCGCTTCCCTGGGACAGCCATGAGTGCAAGGATAAGGAAGTCTCCGACCCGGATGAACGAGTTGAACAACCCAAGTGCCATAGAAATAGGTGCAGAAAGTAAAAAGGAAATTGGTCAAACAAGAGCGAACAGACTAGGGGGAAGTAAGTCCCTAGTGGAGTCGCCAAGCTGGTTAAGTGCCTCGATCTCGCCCTCCGGATCTAGGTGATCTGGAGGCACGTGTCTCGGGTTTCTGGTGAACTCGAGATTTGAGATCGCTTTCTTGGAATTTTGCTCGAGGGCTAGGGCAGATATACCAATCAATGAGAGAGGAATTTTAGGTGGGTTCGAGACTTACTCGGGCTGGCTCGCATGGGCGCCCTCTTCGATCACAAAGAAAGCCCCCCAACTACTTGAGCTGGTTCGGAATCTCCTCCCTTGACCTGTAATCCTCTTGTTTTTCGGCACAACACTTCTATGGTTAATTTGCAAGAGAAGTGGGTTGAAAGGACCCACCCTTGTTTCAGGGCAATACACGTTCACATGAGAAGACGATGAAGTGCAAGGTTTGGTGAAAGATAGAAAAGGGAAGAGAGCTTGAAGTAGGGGTGAGACTAGCATGACAACCAGAAATTTTCGACTCGGAGTGGTAGCAAGACGGGCATAGTTCTCAAGACCAGCACGGTGGCAATACTACTAGAAACCGAGGTCGGTGTGTCGGTGATAGGCTAGGTCTACCCTCAGGCAAGTGAGAGGAGAAAGAGGTGAAGAAGAAAGAACGAAACGGCAAAGAGAAGGGGAAATCCGGATATCAATAAGCATCGTGGTGGGCAATGCAAGGAGATGACGCATCCCTTGTGGATGGCGCTAGCTCTTGACGAGGCACACGATGATAGTTTCTCCTAAGTCGCACGGCGATAGGTGCAGGACGCAGGGAAAACGGCGATCAGCACCAGGCACGCGAAGGAGGCTCGCGGACGACGATAGGTGTTGCCAAAGCCCCCAGCGAGCGGTGATAGGTATCGCCATCTACACTAGACACGCGATGGGGAGAGACCCCTGCAGGAGGCAACAAACCTTGTCGTCTGGGTTCTTCACCGAGACGTCAAAGCTACGTCTGTGGGCGGCGATGGGCAACGCCATCTACAAACCACACTTGAAGGAAGAAACATACGAGTAGAAGGGGAAGGAGACTCGCACATGGTGCTGCCATCGCCATCCGTGCCCTGTGAAACCAAGGGAGAAGCATGCACGACACTGCCACTGCCATGCATGACCCATGCGAGGAACTCAGACAAAGAAGAAGGAGAAGAGAGGGCAAAAGGGAGAGAGAAGAAGAAAAGAAAATGAAGAGAGAGAAGAAGAAAAGAAAAAGAAGAGAGAGAAGGTTTACCTTAAACTTAGGGGTTTCTCTCACCTCACTCTCTCTCTCAAGCGTGACACAAT